AGGGGACAAGCTCGTCTTCTGCCTGGCTAAAGCCCGGCATCGTCGGTCAGGATAGTAAAAAGCGGAACAGCAACAACCGTGTCATTCTCAGGAAACCAGCCGAAATCAAAAAAGATGGAAGAATACTTTGAGGAATTCCTGAACGAGGACTTCCCTCGCAGGGACTGCTCACAGGCGACAGCAGGTCCCATCACTCCCTGGACGGAGGATGGAGTCCGCCGAGAGTTATTAAGAGTGGATCACTGATTGGGACATGGAAGGCACTTGGAGAGCGTGGGGCTCACCCACTTCCTGAACAAGCCGAAGGAGGAATGCGGAGGAGCAAAGGATATGCGATAGAGTGCTCCAACTACCGTGGCATTAAGTTGACTCCCCATACCACGAAGCTGTAGAACGGCTGGTCAACACAAGACTAAGAAACTAGTCCCTATCTCGCAGAAGCAGTTTGGACTGATGCCTCTTCCGCTAGACATGTGATGAAAGGTACCGCCGTGAAGCCACGACCCCGCTACCTAGGCTGCCATGACCGCATAGAAAAGTGGTAGTGGTCGAAGCGATGCAGCGACGTAAGACAAAATCCGATAAGGAGCGTTCCGAATCGAAGGTGTCCGAAGTCGTGGCTAGCCAGGTATTGTGAGGGGTTCACTCCAAGGATTGGCAACATGGAAGGCGGGGTTACTGGTATGGTAGGAAGCGATAACAGCTGATAAGCTTCCATAAGGGGCGTCAGAATCGAGGGCAGTCAAAACTAGTGCTTACCGCAGCTGTTACGCATCATAGATCCGATGAGTGAAGGGTGATGAGGGCATTGATGATGGGTAGCAGGAATACATAAGATCTGACAAGGGCTGAAAGTGACACGTTTGCACAGCAAAATGTGCTATACCGTTAACGATAGGAACATGACCGGTATTAACTCGAGAATCAGGCCTTCCACTCCATGAGTTGCACCTGATCCCTCTCTCTTTGTCAACAGTAATAATATTTGTGACCGCTAAGCTTATGGTAAGGAGATTTCATTCGAATGGTGGGTGTTTACAGAGATGCCATAAGCACCAGAAAATGACTTTATCACTGATGTGTAATCATCTTTCATGAACGACATTAGTGAGTACCATTCGAAGCGTCCCGCTGATGCATGCGGGTGTGCATGCAGAAGTAGGACGACTCAGGGGCAGGACGTGCGTGAAGAAGTGGGACTTTTCAGTGGCGGGGATTGCGCGATGTGGAAGACTCTTCAGCAGCTAATTCGAAGATGGAAATGGAAATATGGAACCTTTTTGGGCCACATTTACTAACTGAGAGCTAGTTTATGGGCACGAGTGTGCCTTACGCCTCATAAACCAGAGTATTTTGTCGCTGCGATTATCTCAGTTTTGCGCCGTGATGATGGAGCTGTAACAGATCATGGCTTTTCACTCCGCCGCGAGCGACAGATACTTGTCACATTTTGTAGACGAAATAGCTTTTGCTCAAAGTTATTCGCCGCATGAAGATAGAGCACAAAAACCCCTTATTGTTTGACCGCTGAGTATAAGCGGTCGCGACAACTTTATTACATGAAAGTTGAAGGATGAGGTACTATGGATATGATTTTCTGCCGTCAAAATGCGTTTCTTTTTATCACACGAAAACCCTGCCTAAATGGTAGCCTAATCGGACCGTAAGTGGAGCTGATGAAAACGTTGCCCCGAATGGAAATACCCTACGAGACGGGTGAATAAACTGAAGATTCATCTCACCAACTCTCGTAATGTCTGGAACTTACTCTGAAGTTTTCGGAGTTGCGCTTATCATCAGCAGCGGGGGACATCGCTCACCACCTTCAACGACTTGACAAAAACACAATACAACGCACAAACTACACAACTGAACGCTGAACGTTCTTCACTCTATCGTTATCAAACTCCCAATTGCATTACAAGCTCATACTATCTAATTTCTCGTTGCGATGCATTCTCGGTGAATCCTGCTGCATATACATGCACGACCATCGCGTTAAACTGTGTAACATAGCTGCTGAATACGACTCTTCTCACCGAAATCTAATAAGAAGTCGTCAGGATCGAAGCGGCCCATTTCAATGAGGAGTAGGCTCGAAGCTAGAGCGGTGTTTAAATTGGACCGCTGAATGCTCGAATCTGCCTTCGAAATTTGCAGAGCGATTCTCTGAAAGGAATTATGAAAACTTGTTAGAATTAAAATGAAGGAAAACGAAGTCGAGCGTGGTTGCCAGCCAATCTGCATGAATAGCCGGGAAGCACCCTCACATTTATCGGCGGCATGGTGTACGTAACGGTCTTGCTTCGCGGGAATGCCATGAAGGGTTCGCATTTCTGGGAGGGAACTTCTTCTGCATTTTGTGGGGAATGTCTCTTTAGGTCTAGAAATGCTCGAACGCCAAATGGGTGCCATAAAAACTCACGCACTTAGAGAGCAACCACTACCCTGACAACGGTTTTAGCCAGAGTGAGCGTTTTTGACCTCACTATGAAAATGCGTACATTGATCGTATGATGTCACCAATAATTGGCAGTCATATACATCGTAATGCTTGTCTTCGAGGACGTAATTGCTTTTAGATAACAAAATTTGGAAAAGTAACAAAAGTGAATGCGTAAGAATGCAGACGAGGCCCCTTGAAATCACAGCAAACTATTTGCAGCTGAATAGAACTAACCCATGGATGCTTCACTTTTCGAATCAGGTCAAAATGCCAGATTTGGCTAGAAACCTCTACATAGGCGTAGTTCGCCCCCATAAATACGAATATGGCACTCGCTCAGCGCGAAAACGCCTGCACTGCGCGCCAAGGGCACCTGTACATCCAAAAATTCTCCTAGATCATAAAGCACTAAGCGCGCTAGACGAACACAAAACGTTTTTCCAGGCTAGTTAAGGAGAGCGCAGAAAGAGCAAGTTTAGCTCAGAGGTGTTTGATCCACACATATTGAATGGTAAACCGGTGAAAAAGCTGCCATAACTCCGTTCAGGAAATCGCTCTGCACATCTCCAGGGCAGATTCGAGATCAGCGTCTAAAACCACGTCTAGCGAGCTACTTCTCATTACAAATGGCCACTTCGACCTGGCGACCTTCCCTAATAGTACAACCACCCCTCCAAAAAAAAACACAAAAAAGACTAAATGAGACGCAAAAGAAATACCCGGTAGGATACCCGAGTGCTGAACGCTCGCGCTCACTCAGAAATTGCGCGCGAACATTCAAAGCATCTTTTGCTGATTACAGCACGCCATCACCGATTGTTGCGCGGCAACCACCAGGAGCTATAAAATGCTTTTTAATATCCATAACTTTGTCGAAGAAAAAAGATCCCTGTAGCTAGACAAGCAGGTGTAAGCGGTCCTTGTGGATACATTATATCATTGCGAGCAGTCCGACGCAACGAGTGGTCCACCTGTGGCATCTACTCACACACGCACGTTCCTCTAAATCGATCACTACTCAAACCTGCCCAATGGTAAGCAAAGACAGCCAGCGTGCCGCGCTGCGCTCCAGCCCCCCCAAGACTCGCCCGTGCAGTGTTATAGAACCATAAACGTATTGGGGCCGGCTGTGTCCATCGGCTGTTGAACAGTGAACCTACACGTTTTTCAGGGCTTTAGACAGCACATAACTTTCCTTCATATGTGGACCTTTCGTGGAACAAGAAACATTCCTGCAATCTAGAAAACCCTCCTTCCTAAAAGGTATCCCAGTTTATTTTATGCAACTATTCAAACAAACTCTCGCCATGTGCATCAAATTGTTCTGTTCTTACGCCAAGTTTCGTTATGACGAACGCTTTACTCATTCTAATCTATAACCAGTAAACTTTTTCGTCGGTTTGTATGTTTGTATGTATGTAGGTTTGTAGGTATGTATGTTTGTCTGTCCGTCCGCAAAATACTTCACGGGTTCGAGTTCGCTGGAAGGCGAAAACGACCGCTAGGCAAACAGGCAAATCGGTGCGGAAGTATCAATCCAATGTTTTGATCGTGATATCGGCCTCCGCTATATAAGACAACCATTCGGTACACTCCGAGCCATTGCACGAGCTGCTGGCGTGGCAGCCCTGACTGTGCTCGTGCGGAAACATAGGTGGGGCCGAAGAAGAGAGAAGGAGAGACAGGGCCCTACCTAATCTATACCTCGCCCGTCGCTCCCACCCCCGCACTCTGAAGCATAAGCGAGAGGAGCAGAGGAATGAGAGAACACAACAACACACTATTTTCAAGGTATGACATCCGAAAGCACAGGAATGTGTCGGTGACAAGACCTTGCTAGCCCTGAATACACAACTCATACCGACACGTAGAGACACCAACGAACAAAAATACCCAACCCATATACGCGATAACAACAGCATCAGTTAACAAAACGTTGAATTTAGATAGACAGAGGAAAGTTTAGAAAACAGACGGCGGATGGCAAAAAAAACGAAATAACAGCTGATAGGGAACGCTGATAGAGAAACAAGCCAGTTGCTATGATTCAATCAAATGCTGGAGCCTTTGCACCACGAAATTATGGTTTTAGTAATAGCGACATTGATGACGGGTGACAAGCAATTTTATCAATTGATAAGTAAAGATAAGGGGACATTTTCACGACATCTCTGACCACTACACTGCCAAAAAAGCCTCTCAGTAAGCGAAATTTTCCCACAGCCATCACTCCTCTGATAGCACTAGAAAATGTACTCATCCCACTAGGGGGGTATATACTTCGCCTGAAACAGGAAGTTTGGAGAAATCAAAAACTCCAATATTG